GAAAAGTATAATTGAAGAATCCGGCATTCGACGCGATAGAAATAGCGCGAGGCAACATCAACGTATATATTCGCGTGAATAAATTAAAGAATAATTTTTTAATCAAGATGCATTATCGGCAAGCGGTCGCGCTTAATTGCACAACGCGGATAAAGTCATTACGCATAATCCGTATCGACTAGAAGCTCCCATCTCATCATTTCGACGGTTCCGGTGTGACGTGAATTTCAATGCCGGCGACGTCGCGGCGGTCCCCCACGCATGTAATGCGGACACAGATTTAATAATGGAATGGTTAGTGGATTTCGTGCTAACGCGTTGCAATTTTTGGAGAGACGCCTCGAGAAGAGAGGACGGAATAGAAAAGAACGCGTAGGGCGATGAGCAGCTCCGACGTAGCCGGGAACGCGGATGAGAACGTGAGTGGCATGTGTGAAAGGGCGAACGAGGGCGAACGAGGGCGAACGAGGGCGCACCATGCGAAGAATACCCCTCGCGAGCACGTAATCTATTTGTCGAGCGACCACAGACCGTGCGACGTTACCGAATCGTCTGGCTGCGAAGAAACACGCCGCGAAAGAGAACGTGAAACCGATACAACGAGCTCACGGAGACGGAAGGAAACGCCGCCTTGGCACAAGCCGCGGAAAAATCTATTTTCACCGTTGGATAGAAGAAGAAAGCTTCGAGGGTTCGCGAGCCGACGTCTTTCGCTCAGGGCTGGAAAAGTCTGAGAGAGCCGTTATTAGAGGTAAATCTGCGGGATCGAGCGCGATACGTATGTAAAGGAAATCCTCGTGCATAGCCGCGATCGACGTTAACCGGCTCGTAGCCATTCCAGGGCGGTGTAAAACCGACTTTAATACTGTCGTATTTCTGGTCGTAAGAAATTCTATCTCCGAGCGCGCGCGAGCACTTACGGTTTTGTGCTTCAGCCACCACCATCATTGAGTAAGCCGAAACCGAGCTTGGAACGACTCGCTATAACTACGTGACACTTTTATCGTCGCGCGTGCAGATCCGCGCAAACGTAAATCGCGCATACTTACGGACCCACCGAAGGCACTCGATTCCATCGCGCTTTATACCGTCTATTCTTGCGAATAAAAAAAAGCAATAAGTTAATGAGTGGCGCATTGTAGACTTGTAAAATTTTCTGGCATTCAATTTTTTCACGTTCAAACACATTGTCAATTATTCGAACAGAACCTCGATGTTATCGCGTCGCTCTCAAGGCACTCGATTCATGGAACAAGAGGTCATAAAAGGCGTCGAATTTTAAGATCGAAGACGCGTTAAAAGTCGGAATCTGATCAACGAGCCACGTCGAAAAGTGCGAGACCCGATGCCCGACGGATAGAACCGCATATGGGCCGCGAATGCCTACGGGCCCGTCTCGTGCATATGCATACGCGAGCACCGCGGATTTGCATTCTAATTGTCGGACGATCCGACCAACACACCATTATGGCTCCGTTCGGCACCGTGCGACGGCAGCTGAGAAAGTTTCTGCGTCACGAAACGAGGTGCCAAGGAGTCTTCGGGAACGGACGGGAACGGTCAATAATCAAGAAGGTAAAAGCCCCTTATCTTATCTATTCCACCGGTCCTGCGAAAGTAACAGCGCCTTCGAAGCGTTTATACTCGTAAATATGTGCGTTATCGTGGAAAATAGGGATGGGAATGCGAGCATTCTGACAACGCACTGGTCGTCGCGAATCTAGTTATACCAAATTAAATTCAAGCAACAGTCAATATATTTTATTCCGACGATCTCTGATGAATCTATATCCTATTTCATTAATACAAATTGCAATCGAACATGCATAAGAAATTTACACACGGCGGAAAATAAAGAAATATACGATAATGATTGTGAGCAATTAATGCTCATTTAGAGATGCAATAGAATATATATTCGTGTAAAATCGATACGCAAAGGAAAACGTCTTGTTCGAGCGATCGTAAAAGAAATACAAATGAAGAGGAAACATCTACGATAACAAGACATTTTATTTCCACGACAAATCTTCCACAAAATCGCTACATTAAATCCGATCGATCTGAGTGCTCAATAAGTATAAATATGCATCGTTAAGCGCGACTCGCCCCGAAATTTAATTCCAACCTTTCACGGCGACTACCGAATTTTTTAATTAACCGCCCATCCACGCATGATTTACCGCCGCGCTTAATTTAAGCCGCTTGTAATACACGCCGTTCATGATCATATTTTTATAAGGACGGACGGTGCAAAATTAATTTCTCTCGGACATGACGCGTCGGCGCGAAATTAATTTTGTACGGATCGTCGAACGCGAACGCATGTATTAAATTAGTAACTCCTCCTTCAATTTTCTTACATTCGCTTATCTAATATTATACAAAGTATGTAAAAAGTATATGTAAAAAGAAGTGTTGCCATTCTTGTCAGTATCCTGAAGCAATACTAACATTGTTAACTACGCATAAAAATATTATAGCATGCATAAACGAACTAAATCATCTCCTATTTTTACATTTGCTTTTCCTCTCTCGATTGTATTATTATAAAATATTAAATTACACGAACAACTTATATTATAATCATTGATCGACATTTCCCTGATGATGTTCTGATAGCAGTACATGATTATTCAGATACCGTTCCCGTAAGCCAACGATCAATGCACGCTCGAATGGTCTATTTAGCCACTGTACGTCCATAAGAAGCCTCTTGCTGCGAGCGTTAATGAATACTTCAAGTCACGACTCGTAATTACACTTTAAACGTCGCAGCGATGCCTGACGTGGCGAGTGTACGTAATTCGTACACACTCGTCATCGTGGAGTCGCGTCAAAGAATTCGCGTAGGTCCCAGCGAAAGGAGGCAAAACCGAGGAGTACAATGCCGAACATTATGCGAGAAGAGGCTCCCCGACTGCGCGTGTTAAAAATTAACTCGAGCTTTCACAACGCGTCCTCTCCTCTAGTGTCTCTCTTCCTCTTCGATTATCTTTTTCCCTCACGGTCGCGCATACTTCGTCCATTTCGTCGGCTCGCTCTGCACGTGTGCGCGCGATCGTAAAAAAATGCAACTAATTAACGACCAAAAAGTGGGCTTCAGCGAGAAGGTTTTTGCCGCGACCGCGAGAGAAGGTCTGGGCTGTGCGACTGAGCCGGACGAGCATATATCGCGCCTTCTTCTTCGTTTCGCCTCTTCGATAATTATCGGCTGGCGGGCGGATCGCCGATTGAGAACGGAGTACGCTCTCTTACATCGAGGCTTTTTCTGCGCTTTCTTTTCATCGTGAATTTCATCAAATGATGATTTGTCAAATATTGTTTAAATTAAGATAAATGAAACTGATTGTAAGCGAAAAAAATTTTTTAAATACATTTTAAATACATTCTTGCGTCTTTAATGAGCACGATTGTATTGCTTAATTTAAGATGGTAACGATGTTTGTATTTCATCGAGATCACAAACTTTATGAAGGTTTAATGATTAAGCGGTAATACTAAATTATACACTATTGACGTAAATCGTTTTGATTAGGTGGCAATAAAGCTTTAATGAGTTGGCTGTAATAATATCTGCAAAGATTGATTATATGACTTTTTGCGCTAAAGAATTAATGATGCACGAGTTGTTAAAGAGTAACCGCGTGGTAAGATGAGCACAACCCGTTCAAGATTGTTATTACGCGTACATCGTTTATCCTTGGTTTTCCATTCTTCAAAATTACTAATAGCGTCGTTACTCGGCTTGCCACAGCAAAAGCGATATAAGGCATTAATATTTATAGGCTACCATAGAACATCGGATTGAACATCGGATTTTACCGTCCATGTGTTAAGCACTACGTTGATGACTACTGGAGCGACTACGGCGTATAATGAATGTGAAATACGATGTAGTAAGAGAAAAAAAAAAATGGAAAGTTAGAAAAAAATACGGAAGTTGGACTATACGCATAATGAGCGCAGCATAATTAATTCGTCGAAAATATATTAATTCGAAAAGAGACGAAAATAAATCGGCGCTTTCAAAGATTAAAGAAATTCCAAATTGATTACACGTCTCAACATTAAAAATAACAACATTGAAAATAAATAATAAATAAGTCAAATGAACGATTTTGTTTAGAAAATGCCGCGTAAAAAGATGAATTAATAGTTTAGCAATAGTAATGCGGTTAACGACAGATTCTCAGAAAGCTTGATCTTTTCGAGCACTATTCGCGCGGTCCGCCTCGCCTGTGCAATTTAATTAATCTAATTAAACCGAAGCGCCTCGTTATTGCGGCGCGCGCCATGCGCACAACAGGAAATTAAGAAAAAGAGAGTAGCCATTGCGCTCGTAACAGATCAGTAACGCAGGATCGTCTCACTGATTCTCGTCGTTCCAAACCATGTCGCCGATAACCGACAAGATCCATTAAGAAGATTATTATCTATTCGAGCAATCGCCATTCCTGTTTATTTATATACCTAGCTCAAAATGTATATATTTTTTCGGCCTTCACATTTTGATGCTTGATGCTTAAGTTTAATAGTTCTTAATTTATTCCATCATAATAAAGCACAACAAAGTAAGAAGAGCCAAAATTAATTCACGAAAAATTTAAAAAACAAATTTTTTACTGATCACGAGCGAGATTAATTTTTATTTCATCTCTTAATTCCCAAAGTTTCTTAAAAATCATTTTTAATTACGCCTACGATCATATCATACGCGTTGACGTGTGCGTGCAATCATATTCCGTGTCAGTATCGATAATCTCGTGGCACGCACATAAACTTGACGAATAAACCGGGTGTTTACGACAATTATGTGTTTCCCGAACAAGTATGATTACGTATAGGAGTCTTCGGTTTTTCTTAAATTAGTCTAACAAACCGCTTCGTCAATTACAATAATTATACCGCACGAGAGAAGAGATTTCCGCGTAAAGGATTGTCTCAATTTTGTTACGCTTACCGACAACGCTGACTTGAAAGGAGAAAAGTCCACTTACCCATTGCGTCTGAAACAAAAATAGAGATCAACTTTTAGTATAAAGGCCTTTTGAAAACATATATATTTTAATATTATCTTAATATTAGAAAAGAATATAAATATGTTATTATGATGTTTAAATTTAATATCGATACTCAATTCAAGAACCACCGCAAAAACTTTTTAATTTTCAATGTTAAAAATACACATTTGCACTTCTATCGCCAAGCTTGTTGAACGTCCTAGTTGCAAAGTATTGATGTAATAACCCGCGGTTTATCTTACGCCTCGTCATCACTTTCCCTTCCCCTCTAAATTCCACGGTGCACGCACTTTGCGGAGTCTCCGGTAAGAACCGCACGCGGCTTTATGTGCAACATGCAATAAAAAGATCGCGCGAACGCACGGCTAATTCCGCACTAATTGCCCAACAACGCTAAAGAGCGTTTGAGAAGAGAAAAAATCCTTTTCCATGGAAAAAAGATTAAAAGCGTTAATGGCATTATTCTTAGTCATAATTTCATACGAGAAGAAATAAAAGTCAAAACTACAGACGCCAAAAAATGCCGACTCTTCCTTTCAAATCGATCAGCTGATATCGACGCGAACGAGAGGCAGCCGAGAGGTGCCTCAGCTATCGTGTACAATTTATATCGTTTCCTATTAAATAAAGAATCAAAATCTAATTGCCTTATTGTGCGCGTGCGAGTCACGTAAGCGCGCGGCAGCCGCCACTATAAATCATAAAGACCGGCGCTCGAAACAATCGAGCGACTGAATGAAACCTTGCGAAACAAACGAGCGCGCTTCGTGCCGTCGACTAATATCCGCTCTTACTAATCGCTCCGCTGTAACGCGAAATATCATTCGGGTGGAGCGTTCGACCCGCGAGATGGCCAGCAGGGATATCTCGTAAGAGACAACGACGACGCAAATACGCGTCAGACCGTGTGATACGGAATCGACGGAACAAGTTTCAAACGCGCACGAAAATCAAGAGTGGCGTCGATATATAGCCGAGCCGCATGCGGCTTTATTTAAACTGGAAGCCCGAACGGTCACTCATAACTCCTCGAGATAATCTCCGCGTGGGCAAGACACACACCGCGAGCTCTCCGCGTCTGTACGCCCGTATCTACCTTCGTCTATCTCTATTTATTATTCTTAGGCGCGACTGTGTGTCTCCACGGAACGGAGAGATAGCCGACAGCTCCTCGCGTGTGGCATAAGCGCGTGTACATATACGTGTTACATACATCGACGTGCACGCGCGTGTGAGTTGGTATAGCGTGGGCATTTTTCGCATGCTCCATTCTCGCTTCCACGGTTGCTCGCGTCAAGCGACAAGGCGAGCTCGTGTATGGACTGACTAACCCATTAGCGCCTTGGCTGCCGATCGACATGGCGAATCGATCGATAAAAGCCGCGCCGAACACTTCCTGGGGATAGGAAGGCCCGCCGTTTCTTTCGCAGCCGATCGACCGAGAAAAGAAAAATTGCTTTAGCCGCAGTTATCGCTAAATGAATAGCAGGCACGTCGGAATTCTGCACCGGGTGACGTAATATATTTGACAATCTACGCCTCGATTCGAATATATCGCACAATTTTTCTTTTTACATTAATTTTTAAAGACATTGGGGATAATTTACAAAAAGTAGAAAAGTCAATTCTGATAAGTTATATCAACGTTCTTTTCACAAGAAAAATAGTTTTCTCCGCGTTTAAATAATGACAAGCTTGTAGAACCGCAAGAATAATTAGTTTTTCCTTACTAATCTAGTTGCACAGTAAGCATTGTCAACATTCTTTGAAGAAAGAAAATAATTTCGTTTAAATAATGGCAAGCTTCTACAAACGGAACACGTTCAGCGGTTATTCTCACGTCTCTCGCGAGGGTGCCAATAATTCGTCCGTTGTGAAAATAGAAGCAGCGGCGGTAGGTGGAAATGTAAACGAAGAAATAACTATAAATTAGCGATTACGGGAATTCGACGCGAGGCGGTGAGAATGGCGATTCTGCGCACAGAGAGGTGAGAATTGGCTGTGTGTCTGTAAAACATTACCGACGAAATACAAGGTGAATACAATAAATGACGCGATGACAACAGACAGCCACCATAAATTTGACGATAATCGTCGTCGCCGTTGCCAAAGAAGAAATTCGCGATGGCAGAGCGCCGACTGTATCTACATTTCGATTTTCGGCGCTTCGAATTTAAGATCGTTTATCGATATTAGTCTTCGTGAGATCCAACATTCTCAATTGTGAGGACAACGACCTGATGCCTCATCGTGATGCATTTTTCGCCGCCACATGTATTAAATAAATCAAACATTTTATGAGACTACTCTCTCCTCGAATATATTTTTGCCTCTTGCCAAAACATTGATAATCATTATATTTTATATACCAAAATAAAATAATTACTTTCCGCATCATATTAAACTGATTTTAATGTAACGTTTCAATTTGTTTCAATAAATTTCATAAAATTCCATGAATTGTGAGCAAATAATTAAAGTGAAATGGAGCGATCAAATAGGTCAGTCGCAGGCGTCACAAAAAATTTAATTTAATTTATTCAATAATCATAATTTTATTGAAAAATATTTGCCAATTTTTTAAAGCATTATACACAGTGTAAAACATAAAAGAGTACGCGTTCCCCTTAAAACCTCCTGCTGGGAGC